ATAAACCTAGTTTTTGAATATAGATTAAGATATTTATGTATCCATTATAAGTCTTAGGTGTCATGTACAAAGCAGTGAGGGACAAATTCTGTGTATCAATCCTGTATCGCCCTATTATATCTCCCCAAGAGGGAAAACATTTTCGAATATTATTTAAGATATTTATTAACCAGTATCATGTACAAGGCAGTGAATGAGTATATTCTTTGACCCATTATTAGAGAAATGTAATGTGCAAAAAGCAGTAATTAAGAGACAGGGATTTTGCAAGTACAGATACTGCATCACACTTATTTTTTGCACTACAAGATAAGCACAGAATTTTACTTTAAAAAAGTGAAGAAATTTAGAAAGGGTAATTTCATTACTGCATTAGTATTCTGAATATCAAGGGGATCTGTGATGGTTAACGGGATTTATAAAAAGAAAACTTATGTATTATTTACAAGTTTGTCAGTAACTCCTACACAATTAAAATGGGGTCAGAAGATTTTACTCTTACTAGAAAATCCGGCTTCGATGTTACGATTTTTCAAAAATTTCTCATCATCCAAGTTCATGGATGCTCTTCTCAGAAGCTTTTAATTCCAAATTTTGAAGTTTTGAAATTTTAAGTGAAACATTGTTTGTAATACGAATAGTTATCGATTTATCAAGACCCCAACCAACTAAAAACGAAATTGGTTTCAGTCTTGTCTTACTTTGAAATGACAGATATAGAATATCCGAACTCTAATGTTTCATTGTTAGATAATATTTGTCGAGATAATCTTTAATCAAATTGAAATGTCAAATCAGACAGTACGTAATAACTATCTGATATATAAATGCTGCAGTGTTGAAAATTATTGACCTGGCGGCTATATCAGACTATTAAGATAGAGATCACTTGTTCCCACTCGAGTGATTACGTGTTGGCGTGTTGGCATCCGTCAGATGTGTGTGTCGACTTTGATGTCACAAAGAAGGCGGGTCGTGCACTCACAAGTTTGCGATATATTGTCAGTCAGTGGGACGAGATCAAAAGGAATTTTTAGATCGGTTTAATTAATAAATGATTTGTTTGTAACACTTTTTTTTTTATTAGGTTTTACGTATGATCAAATGTTAGAACGACTGGCCTTTTGTATAGTATTTACTTTTGATGAAAAAATACATTTTTATTAAAGTGGGCCATTTCAAATAGTATTTACTTTTGATGAAAATTTAGATTTGATTAAAGTGGGCCATTTTGTATAGTATTTATTTTTGATGAAAAGTATGAATGACTTAATGTGCGAAATTTTGTACAGTATTTACTTTTGATGAAAAGTTAGATTTTATTAAAGTGGGTCATTTCAAATAGTATTTAATTTTGATGAAAAGTTAGATTTGATAAAAGTGGGCCATTTTGTATAGTATTTATTTTTGATGAAATGTTAGAATGACTTAAGATGGGCCATTTTGTACAGTATTTTACAATGACTTTAAGGTGGACTGATGAAATGTTGCATACAATGAAATGTTTGTATAGTATAGTATGTACTACTTTTTAAAGTCATTTACATATATACTCTGATTGAGCTTAGTTTATATAAATTCTCTAAAATCAAGAATTAGCGGAACTGTTCCTTGTCGGACAGTTTGAAAGCAGTATCATCACTCTCTCCAACTAAATAAATATAATCAAGTTTAAATAATATTATATTCAATATACCTTAGTATGGAAAGAAAGAGGGAGAGAAATGAGGTTTAAAGTCTGTGTGACACAAACTGGTCATTTTGGAATTACTCTTAATACCGATGACTTATATTGAGCCAATGAAAATGCTTGCATGAATGCATGCCCCGCCCTATTCGTCAACTTGACTGATAACACCACTGACCTTGGACGGGAACGTGTTAGAACTGCCGGTAATGGCCATGAGTATACCGAATAGCAGAAAATGTTGTATAAATAGCAAGAAATATTAACGATACATATGCTATTTTTTTAAACACCTTTTAGCATATGGTAGAGTTTTATTTCAATAATTAGCTTGTTGAGAAAAGATTTTTTAAAGAACTGGGGCCTGTTTCACGAAATTTTAACTAAGATAAAATCCAAATTTAATTTGCTGATTACACTATTTTGCCTGATTACACTATTTTGCCTATACCGTTTGTTTTGGGAACACAATCGGTTTAGGCTGTGATAGTCCATTGGCCAATCACGCTATTTTGCCAAGATTTCGTCTAATAGTTTGGATGCAGCTATGGCGGGTGTGGCGCCAGACAGGGTAAGCTTACTCTTCCGGACACCTGTTACCACTGTTTGTCGTGTAATTTGTACACGAGGAGCAGTCCATTTGCTGATTACACTATTTTGCTTGAATACACTATTTTGCCTATAACTTTTTTTAGGACTTCGAATTCTGTCTTATGGTTTTATTTTATTGGATAATATTAGATTGATTTTAGTGCTTAGCCAATCAAAATTGAAGTATCTACTAAAATTTGGATTTTATCTTTTGTTAAAATTTCGTGAAACCGGGCCCTGGTCTACTTGTTGGAGTAAAGCAATTTTCGCAAGCGTTCATAAGACTCCTTTGAAAACCATCAAAAAAAAAAATATTTGTACAAATTGAAAACTAAAAATTCTGTATCTCAGGAATGACTTGACAGATTTTTCTCATATTATGGTATGAAATTCAAGATTCACATGTGTACTCATTGGCAATACATAAAAGAGCCATTGATATTAGGAATCCAATGCCATAAATGCCAGTCTTCATTAAACCACATTTTGTCTCATTTTCTCCGGCAAAAGTGCTAATACCTCTTTAAAGAAGAATCAAAAGTTGCTTTTTAACAAAGTGCACTCATATCAGTGCCATTCCATTATCTTATCTCTGTACCAAATCTAATTAACAGCAAAATATTTCTTATTTTGATATAATCAATCACCTTTTTTTCTTTGATTGGAAACCAAAACTTACTTCTCTTTGAACGACAGATTGACAACTCTATACTTTTGTTTTCTCAATTACTGTACGTCGATCAAAATGAATCGAGGAAAAAGAACATTTGCTTCTGTCAGAAGAAGTTTTGATTTTGTTTGATACATTATCTGGGAATTGTTGAAAAGAAATATTGAAAAATAACTCTTTGATATCTGGTGTATTAATTTTTTTTCTGAGACGCTATATTGACAAAAATATTACACCATCAAGCGTGGCATTAAGAAATGATTTCCGTTAATATAATAAATAATCAGAATCGACTAAATCATCAGTTTAAGTTGCGTCAAAAAACAGAAATTAAATGAAATGAGGTTTAATGTCCTACTGTTCTGCACTGACTGGGCTAATGAAGAGGGAAATTTTGTCAGCACTACTGGCTACTCTTATTTTGAATTCTGTCAAAGGTTTTTTTTACGTGCACGTCACTGTGTACACAGAACATTGTTTTTTTATACCACCCGATTGACTATACATTGTCATTGTTAGAAAATCATGATGAACTTGCACGAACAAGGGACCTCCAGGTTAGCGAGCCAACGTCTTACTCACTAAGCCAATGCTAACGTCCACAAACTAGGTCATTTTGGGACTAACATATGGTTCAATTTTATTTCAATAATTTGCTTGGACATAGCTATAGGGGTCTTTGGCAGTAGGAGGTAACCAGAGGACTCATAGAAAACCCACGAGGTTGGACAGGCGACCCTACCCCTTGGCTTATTTCATCTAATTAGTAAAATAATAATTGTGTAGCAATAATATTTTCAGATAGCTGATAGTAGTGAAAGTGAAAAAACTTTGATCAGTCAGGAGGTAATTGGTAGTTGACTAGCTAACCGGATGTGGACAGTTTGCTTGACACGGCATGTACTGGACGTGGGCGTGGCCTGCCTGTGTTTTTGTTACCCCCTAAGCGATCGCCATGTTTCTTCTACAAATTGAAAACAAGTATGGCGGTCGATTAGGGCGTTACCTTTTTATATTTAATTATTTCTGTAGTTTTGTAATCAGAGTTCAGCTTTAATATAAATTGTTTAAGCTCATGAGATGAACAATCAAAACAAATTCTAATGTTTTCTGATAATTACTTCATGGGTTATTACTTGTAAATAGATTTTCACGTGTTGTAAATGTTCTCATTACTGACAATAGAAAAAAATGATGCGACAACCCTTCTTGACGGCTCGGATGACTTAGCTGCTGTGGGTGTATGTTTTGTTGCCTGGCAACCTATCTTTTTTTCTTTTTTTGTTTGAAGCAATTTGGATTTTGTTTTTCTTTCTTTGTGCAATAATAGTGTTTATAAACAGAATTACACATACCGGTACAAGTGTTGAATCGAATCCAAGCCTCTTGACTCCGTGATCAAAAGCGTAAGGTTGCATATGCAACTTTCTATAACACTTGATACCGTTACTCATTTGAGGAGTTCTTGGTGATTGGTAATATATACCGGTAAGAGCCAGGGCTTACTCTTTTTAGAACACCTCATACCACTTATCATTCTGTAAAGTTCATATAACTAACAATTTCTGCTGTACTTTTGTATTCCATTATCCGAAAGATTCAAAAACTAAAAAAAAAACTTTAAAAACTTTTCTCATAAAACTTTATTTTGGAAAGTTCCCATAGGTAATAATCACTGCTGTTTTGTATTCTGTTGTTATCCCTGAGAAATTAAAGTATGACCCACATTTCCTAAAAAACCTTTCCCATAAATCTCCATACCTTTTAACAAAACTGCAAAAGATTCTTGTAACATTTCGAGCTATTCCCTTAAGTGGAGTAGCCAAGGAAAAACTGGGGTGCTTTGATTATTGGTAAGATACGAATGTTAAAACCGTCCATTAACACGCTTGGTATTAGAACTTTTAGAATCCGAGCGGAGAAGCCAGAAAAACTGGGTAGTTTGATTGTCTCTTAGATAAAACTAAAGTGTGATTCAATGTTATTCAACTGTTTAGTAAGCTTACCAAAAGGTCGGCCATTTTTCACGTGTAACTGATCTCTTTATTACAGATAACGGATCCTGTATAATTGACGATTCTACCACAACCAATCAAATAATGGCTACAGATTTACGTTGGCTGGTTTGATGTGAAACAATCGGGCAATGAATTTCACGGATAATACGACAGATAAAGACCCGGGTGATAAAACGACTCCTGACCATTTCTACAATATCACCACGGAAACCACTATGTTATTAACCAAGGGAGATTACTATCAAGGTATGGTCACCAATACTACGACGAATCTTAGTGCGATTTTTGGAAATAATACGGCACAAGATGTACTGTGGTCTCCGAGTGTATGCGGATCTAATTCTAGTGATGCATGGAAGTTAACGACTCCTATCTGCTCGACGCGATTTGAGTCGTTTTTTGTCTTTGTGTTAGTCACCTTGCTGCTGACACTGACAATAATAATCACCCTCGTTGGAAATTTTATGGTGCTTTTAGCTTTATACAGATATCGTTCATTACAGACAATGTCAAATTGTTTGATTGGAAATCTGGCTGTGAGCGATTTAGCCATCTCGTTACTTGTGTTGCCAATATCAACAGGAAATGACATGTTGGGTTATTGGGTTTTCGGAGAGACGATGTGCACAATCTGGTTGTGTATCGATGTTTTAATCTGTACGGCCTCGATATGGGGTTTGTGTACCATCGCCTTTGATCGTTACACGGCAACCGTGTATCCCGTCTGGTATCACGACAAACGATCCCGTAAAAAAGCTTTACTCTATGTCTCATTTGTGTGGATTTTTTCGATAGTCATTTCCTTTTCTCCTTTTATCGGCTGGAGAGATATGATTCCGAGTTTTTATTCCCATAACGATGTGTTAAATCGTTACGAGTGTATTTTGTTTTCGACAAAGAGTTACGTTGTTTATTCTGCCATGGGATCCTTCGTTCTGCCGTTATTACTCATGACCTTTCTGTATATTCGGATTTTCATTGTACTTCACAAACAATCGAAAACACTGAAAGCGAAAGCCAACCTGTATTATGCACAAAAAAACTCGACTCCTAATAATCGGGGCCATGGTGGCATCGAACGCAGTGTTACGCGAGAAACCAACCTTGACGGCAATGCATCGCAAAATGCAGGATCATTTTATCTGGAAGATATGGACGAGACATCAATGATGGAGACTTCTGTGATAATTACCGGACAGGAAACGGTTACAGATCTGTCCTGTCGAAACAGCCTCTTACCAATACGTGAAAATTCGCCAACTTACTCAAAGGTGGATTCCAGTGAATCAGATTCCGACCTTTCCCCAAAACACGAACCAAAGACCAATGGTCTGTCTAATAATAATCACATGTTACCGAAAAGTCAATCAGATATCAATGTCATCCACAACAAGATTTCCTGTGATGAAAATGGACTGTTAGCTGAAAGCAAGCGGTCAAAAAGTGCCAATATTTTATCAGATTCCAATTTACGACAAAAATCCCCTTCCTCATCGCCTGCGCCTAAATTGGCTCGAAACAATCGCATGACCTTGAGTATGAAAAGACGATTTGAACTAAGAGAGCAGCGTGCAACAAAACGCATGTTGACAATCATGGCATGTTTTTGTGTTTGTTGGATTCCTTTTCTCGTCATGTACCTGACCCGTAGTTTTTGTATGGATTGCTACATGAACGAACATATCGTCAGCTTCATCATCTGGCTTGGATATGCCAATTCTTGTCTCAACCCTATTCTTTACACCGTTTTTAACGAGGATTTTAGACGTGCTTTCAAAAAGATTCTCCATATGGATAAGAAACCTCGGAGGTGACCAGATAAACTGGAGTACAAATCTTTTTTTTCAAAATTTAAACAGGTTGTGTACATGTGCTTTATAGCTTCGATTTACAAAAAAATAATTCAGTAAAAAAAGACATGAGGAGTGAAATATAAAATGTATTATCTCCGCTTTAGTCATTTTGAATAGAGAGAGAGCAAAATTGGGTTTAAAGTCCACTCGACACAAACTAGGTCATTTTGGGACTAACAATATGGTTCAATTTTTTTTTTCAATAATTCGCTTGCGCATAGTGGTCTTTAGCAGTGGGAGGATACAAGAGAACCTGGAGAAAACCCACGAAGTTGGATAGGCGACACTACTCCTTGTCAAGTACAAGCAGGGAATCAAAACCACGCCACTTGACTCAATGACAGACCCAGTTCAAGTCAAGTGGACATTAAATTCCAATCTTCTACTGCTTGTCTGTTCCGTCTGTAATATGGTCATGAGGGGTTTTAAAAGAAAACATGAATACAATCATACGTGTGATAAGCTTTATATATCCCGGGTATATACCTGTGCAGTCTTAATGTTAGTATATAAAGGATTTAAATGCGAAACACAGTCTGGACTGCTGGCTTTAAACCTAAGGTGCGTATATACCAGTAAAGTCTTGAGTGTAATATATGAAGCATTCAAATGCAAAACATGGTCAGCAAGCCTGGAAATAAGGTACCTGTCCCAGACCATGTCAGGCACAGATTCAGGCTTTGTCAGGCACAGAACCTATGGTGCCTGTCATTGTGTTTTGACTTTTTGTATTGATATTATTAATACATGTCCGGCACTAAGTTGAAAATGTCAGGTACTATTTCATTAGTGCCTGACATTTTGTCAGTTATATCTAAAACCGTTATTTCCAGGCCTGATGGTCAGACCAAATTACAGATCTTATGATCTAAAGTGCATACATCAGACCATCCAACAACACGCCCCACCCGCCAAACAGAGTATGACATGAAGGATTGCATTATTTTGCATTGTGTTGGCTCCTTTCAAATTTCATTAATTCCCTGCTTTGAGCATTGTTATATATCAAGTGTTCTAGAATAAGTGTAAGCATGATGTGAAATTATTATTTGTTAATGAAAAGTTGTGATATTACAGAGTATGTATTTGATATTATAAGCATACCATGCCTTATGCATGATACAAGTTACTATATGTAGCTACTACTCTGCAGTTGACACAGGGGTAGGTATTAGTGAATATTTCCTTTTTCCATCAAACAAGACTATGAGAGCCCGTTATAGTTTAGACAATGTTGACAGGAGAAAATAGCTATTTTCCTAAAGACCTAAATCTGCTTGTTACAGGGTTTTTTTTGTTTGGTGGAGGGGGGGCTTCAAATATAACATAAATTATTGATTAGACATTTATTCACATGACAATCGCATAATCTACTCTCTAGAGCATCAGATGGTCATGATATTGAATGCATTAGAACAACACTCACCATTTAATAATTTAAAGTTAAAAAGGATTATAAAGACTTTGTTTATTATTGTAACATTAGTACTTGAATTGACAATCAAGACTGTCTTGTAAAAACTTCAATATATTCATTTTTCTTTATCTATAATTTGAACTATTATAATAAGGATGACCAACTCTTTATCTATATCTTACATATACAGTAGAATCTGCATTAAGCAGCCACCCAAGGGAATTAATAAAATCTTGTTGATTTTTGTGCCGACATAAATTAAATATTACGCTTGGATGCAGTGGAAGCGGTTAATTTGGCCGTCGCTGAATCTTGCGCCGAACGAAAATTCTTTACTCAAATCTCGGACATAACTTAACGGGAGTGGCCTCTTAATAAAATCTCGTTGCTTTTTGTGCCGACATAAATTAAATATTACGCTTGGAAGCATTGGAAGCGGTAAATTTGGCCGTCGCTGAATCTTGCGCCGGACGAAAATTCTTTACTCAAATCTCGGACATAACTTCTGTAAACTTGTCATTTTGTACCAACCTTCGATACTACTGTCTACCATTGTGATGCATTCGATAATATTTATCCATTTTTGTGAAGAAAATCGATGAATTCATTTTATTTTATCAAAAAAGCACATGAACAAAAAACATCGCTAATTTTATCACCTATTTACAGGGGGTGTAACTCTGTATGTAATATTATAGGAGGCGCTAAGAGAGATACTAGATGATCGTGACAAAACTCTGTACTTTTATTTTATTCAATCAGTATCAAATAATGTGTCGTTAGCGTGAAAACAATGATCAGGTTAGTCGTTTAATAAAACAAAAGATTAATTAACAGATAATCCCAGGTTGATTGTTATGTTTACATTTCTTTTTACCTGATCAGTGGGGGTCCAGTTAATTAACTATTACTCACGGGATTAGCGGGGGTGTTACAAAGAACGACAAGATGGTATCATTCAACAATGGCCGTTAAATGGGCGATGTTTTGTTGAATTTATTAGTAAAATAGTGACCGCTGGCCGCGTTAGAGGAGTGACCATTGAATAAAGAGATGAAACAACAGAATTTCTACGGGGGGAATTTATCGTGACCGCTTACAAGGAGATGTCGCTGAATAGGAGTGGCTGCTCATACAGATTCTACTGTAATGCATCTTTAATTATCAAATATATAGTGTTTTAAAGTTAAGACAGATCACTATTTATTTAAATATCAATTATATAATATTTATTTAAACCAGACAGAATTCAGTTCTGCACTGATGATTCTTGTGAACAAAAAAGAAGAAGCAACAAAATATATCTCAATTGATATGTACTTTAATCCTTTTTCGCTTTGAGTCTGTCAAAGAAAACTGTCTGATTTTTATCGATTATCTCAAATGAGCATCTGTCTTTGTTTAAAAGAGCTCTACGACTGATTCATTAGAATCTCAAAATCATGAAATATATTTCTGATTGCTGTGTTAATAATTTATAATGTATCAATTCTCTCCAGATCGAAACAAGAGTGACAACTTGGGTCAATCAGCACCTGCTTGCCACCATCCTAGCGATCCTGATTAGGTTACTTTATATATTACATGTTCCCAGGAGTAACGGAGTAACAATGAAAGGTTCCGTTAGACACTCATCTGAAAAGGCAAAACTGCTCATTCAATGGGGGCTGTGAATAACCTGGCTTTTTATATATCAAGATCCCGAAAGAACTAGGAATTAAGTAGGTTTGACCTTATAACAATTTGTATGTGAACAATCCAATTAAAGCCATCATGACTTAATCCACGCTAAAATGTACTCAAATTGACTATTTACCATTCAATCATCAAAAACGTGGATTGAATTGGATCAAAAAGAGGCCCATCAAAGATCTTGCCCAACACTCATAGGTGTGGCACTGGCTTGTTTGAATGCTGAATGATGTGAAATTTTTTTATTCATCATATCGCTGTTTGCAAGGAATTCCAAAGGACGATCAGTGGCTTTAAAACTAGATATTATTCTAAATTTTCAGTTTTTCTTTAATTTGGTTTAATTCAACATATAATGAAGATAAATACAAAATTTATTGATCTATCTACTCATAGATCCCTATCTGTGAAAACTGAAACTAAAATACGGAATGTATGAAAAACACAGTACAAATTTTACCTCTTGACCAATGAAAACTATAAACTATTTCAAATGTTTACAGTTTTTCTCTTAGTTCGATACAAGACTGTTTACTCCTGATGTTATAAAACCAATGAAATATAATTGAAATATAATTGAAATATAAATGAAATATAAATGAACTGAAACCAGATGTAATATATTTTTAAGCCTTATTTTTAATTTAATTGAAAATGTTTATCCATTGTGATTGAAATAATTTATCATGATTATGTATATATTATGAGAAATAAATACATTTATATTCATTTGTTGGTTTTTAATAAAATGACAGTATAGTCAAAGTTTAAAAAAGGAAATGAAAAAAAGGGGTTAATGTCGTAATTCTTTTGCATCAACTGGGCTAATAAAGATGGACACATACCATGTGCATTTCCCAAGTACTAATTCCGACCCCCATTTGCAAATCATGCATAAGCCTTCAAAACTTTCAGAATACAATTTGTAACGCAAACCACCAACATCAACACAGTTCTGTAACTTCAGGCTGTATATTTCTCACATTTAGGGCCTTCAAATTCTAGCCCCCGACACTCCCCCCCCCCCCTTCCTGGAACTTTCAGCAAACAAACTGGTAACATCTACATGGTTCTGTACTTTTTAACTACATATCCGGTTCTGTTTCCTTTTCGACATACATCAAGGGAACCTACACATAAGCTTATAGTAATTTTATTTCCCACCCTAAATATATACTGGGCTTTTCAACAGAATCATGTTAAGAATGGGAGGTCGGTAAGATGTTGTAATACTGTCATTGTCTGTGGATGTCCTCCTGATTCAAGTTCTGTCATTGCGGTGCCTGTTATTGTATCAGTATATTCAGGTTTTGTTTTTTTACATATATTATACATATTCTAAATATTTTCATTAGTCCATTACATTTCAATTTATTATTTTCCAGCAATATCCGCAACAATCGGTAAAGTAGAAAATAAAAATTATTTCATTTTATTTTATACATATTCAAAATATTTTCAGATTGTCTTTATACATATATACATATTCTAAATATTTTCATTAGTCCATTTCATTTTATATAATTTCCAGCAGAATCAGCAACAATTGGTAAGATAAAGAACAAAAATTATTTTATTTTATATCATATGTATTTTCATTAGTCCATTTCATTTCATTTTATTATGGTTTCCCTTGTCAGTAGTGCAGGACATAGGGCCTGTCAAGTACAGCTGTCTAGTTGTTGAGATGGGACGAAAAAATGAGGTCCTGTGTATACATTGGCGTACACGTAAAAAAAAAACCCTTTGCAGTTGGAATTCGATATAAGAGTAGGCCATAGTGCTGCTGCCCGAACAAAATTTCCCTCGTAGCACGCTGTATGGCGTATGCCTGTCTTCATTAGCCCTGTTGGGGCAGAACAGTAGGACGTTAAACCCCATTTCATTTCATTTTATTATTCTTCAGTGGTGTTTGCTATAACTGGCAAGACATGAGTATAAAAATTATTACTGTACTTTCTGGCCTGTTTTACATGTACTAGTCAACGAAAGATGAAATGCCCCAAACATATTGTGGTCAGGCACCATGGTATTGAGGTAAGATTTCCATCTGATTTGGTTGCAGGATTCAACTATTAGTCCATCATTCCATCACATCTGATTTATACTGGAATTCCCTTGTCTATATATTACTACCGACATCCAATCAGATTAGACAGATTTATGACTACCAGAAAATATATTTTGTTGACAATATCACTGGTTGATCTTTCTATCTTTGTATTTCTATTATTTTGTGCATAAAAGAGAAAAACAGGACTGGATAACAAATCAACAGAAGTAGGTCATATCAGGACTTACATCAATATACTTCATTTATTATATTTCTCAGACTCTTTAAATATTATCATTACAAAACATCTATATAGCGCTGAAATGAAACGAAATGGGGTTTAACGTCCTACTGTTCTGCTCCTATGCTGGGCTAATGAAGACGGGCATACGCCATACAGTGTGCTATGAGGGAAATTTTGCCCGGGCAGCGGCACTATCGCCTACTCTTATATCAAATTCCAACTGCCAAGGGATCTTTTATGTGCATTCCAATGTATACACGGTTTTTCGTCTCATCCGAAGGACTAGACAGCTGTCCATGTCAGGCCATCCGTCCTGCATTACTGACAAGGGGGGAACCACGCCGGAAAATCTGGATGAACTTTCTCGGCCAATGCAGGGATCGAAAACACGACCTCCAGGCTAGCGAGCCAGCGTCTTACCCACTTAGCCACGTGATCCCCCTATATAGCGCTGTCTTCAGAAGTTGATTTTAATTAACCAGAAGTGCAGGAACAGAGGGCATGGCAAGGAACAGTGCATCTAGTTCTTCCCATGGCCGTAACTGGGACCGAATTCCACACCACGCTAAAATGTAGTTAAGTTGATTATTTAACATTAAATCAAAAAAACAAAACTAATATATCAATGGAAGATAATCCGATGAAAAAGAGGCCCATCAACAGATTTCAACAAAACTTACAGGTGGCACTGGCTTTTAATTATATTAATCTGTTTACATCGTCTGCGGAACGTTGACAGATTTACAAATCCTCACAGAAACTGAATAATTCTTTATAGGGATTCAACTTTTACAATATTGCTGTTGGCAAAGGATTCCTCAATCCTTGAATAACTTTCAGAGATTTTAATCCTGAAAACTTTTGATCAACAGTTCATAATTAAGATAAAATCAAAACCAAAAAGTAATCAACAGAACAACCTTGTATTATTCTAATGACATAAAAATTTAATAGAATATCTTGTACATCTGATCATAGCAATTTGACACTTTTATTCTCACATAGATCAAAGAGATACATCTTGATAAACCATCCGTCTGATCTAACAGTCTGCACGTCATGGACTATATATGACATGCAAAGCCAATGCAAGTTCTAAGAAGAGAGAGAGAGAGAAAGAAATGGGGATTAACGTCCACTCGACACAAATTAGCTCATTTCAATAATTTGCTTGTGAGTAGGGGTCTTTAGCAGTGGGAGGAAACTGGAGGAACTGGAAAAAACCCACAAGATTGGACAGGTGACCCTACTCCTCAATTTCAAAGGAACAAAAATTCAAATTGGTATGATCGAACTAAATCCTGAAACAAAATACAAGTATTATATCTATGATTTACTTCCCATACAATATGGTATCAACAAAATAAATTTGCTTTAACGTCCTACTTTTCTGAGGGGAGTTGGATGGCCGAAAGGTTAACGCGTGCGCGTTGTGTCATAAGGTCTGTCATTGAGTTCCTCTATCAACACAATATGTGAACCAATGAACTAAAAATTAGCTGCATTCAATCTTTTGAAAAAAAAATTTAATTGTATAGAGCTTTCCCCATAAATAGCCACCTGAAAGATGTTTTGTTTAATAAAATTTCAAAACATACAAATCTGAAAATAAAAGCACTTTTGTTTTTTAAATAAGTCTTTTTCCTGAAGATGTAAAAAAGGAAAATTTTAAAATGTGTTCCTGAATGAACAGAAATGAAATTGGTGTGGCCACAGTTAAGGTAATCATCATCACACGACAGATCTACCCTATTAAATAATTTGGCGTAAATCAAAGAGATTTAGCACCTTTAAAGTGGCCAAGTCTCTAACTGAATATCATCCAAAATCTTCCGACATTGAAAACATGAATTATTTGTCAATTTAAATCAACATTGATGTTGTGATCTTACCTAGAAAAGATGAACTTCTGATATCCAATATTTAAGACAAAATAAACATTTTACAATTGGTACACAAATCGTGTACCATAATGCGGTATATTCCACAAGTCATGTCAAACAGTGACGTCATATTCTTATCTGGAGAGCATGTGCAATAAATACTATCGGTGTAGACTGGAATAACCAGACGCTAGAGATTGCCATTCGATTGAAACTTCTGGCATATTTCGCCGAACATAACTGATTAGAAATTACAGTAAAAACAGAAACGATTGAATGTAAATCAGTTTATATACATTCATATTACATTATCATATGCGTTGCAACCCATTTGTGTCTATTTCTAGGTCCCAAATATTATCGATTTAGCCCCTTTAAATAAATACGATTGGAATATTGACTCTGTTTTTAATAAAAAAAGGAATGAAAGAATATATAGGTTTTAGAAGCAACCTATACTATCTATATGGGCGTCAGAATGAATCTATAATAAGACAGGCTACATTCATAACTCTACAAAAGCAGTGGTGGTCATTTTCCTCGGGCAATAAACACACAAAAACTAATAATCCTTTTTACAGTCAGGGGAAATAATACATAATTAGAACTCGGATGAAATGAGGCCAGTTTTAAAGACAAAATCAAACTTTTTGTATAAAAAAAATACTAAAAGAGAGAGAGAGAGAAATGGGGTTTAACGTCCACTCGACACAAACTAGGTCATTTCGGGACTAACATATGGTTTAATTTTATTTCAATGATTCGCTTGCGCATAGGGGTCTTTAGCAGTGGGAGGAAACCGGAGGACCCGGAGAAAACCCACGAGGTTGGACAGGCGACCCTACTCCTTGTCACGTACAACCGGGGATTCGAAACCACGCCAGTTGACTCAATGACAGACTTTATGATACAGCGCGCGCACTCTAACCATTCAGCCATCCAACCCCCCTAAATACTAAAAGAATGATAGATATGTTAGGAATAGATTTGAATATCTTGTCAACATTTTACTTGGATTGTTTTGAGATTAACATACAATGTTTGTTTTGTGTAACGTTAAGGATGAGAATTTTGCCCAGACAGCAGCATTTCCACCTACTCATAATTGGTTTCTAACTGTCAAGGGTTCTTTTACGTGCACCCCACTGTGTACACAGATAAATCTCAGTTTTTCATCAATTCTGAATGACTAGACGCACTACTTTTGTCAGATGCACAAGAGATTCCTCTGAAAATTGGGAACCAGGCTAGACAATCGATTGCAGAACATAAGTCCATCTTTACCAACTGGAAACAAATTAATGTGAAAGGAGATAACATTTGCTAAGAAGGATGTGCACAAAAAAATAAAATTGCCTAATTTATTATTATCACAGAGATACAATAATTGTGCAACTTCTAATCATCCAATGCGCCTTGTTTGGTGTTTTTGTTTGATGTTTAATCCGC